CACACACACACACACACACACACACAGTGTGCTCTTCCACATTTTCTGGTGTCTTAGCTGAGGTGCTTCTTACACTTGGATCATGCTACTACCCTTTCCTGCCAAATTTCTACTGAGCTTTTAGGACCCTCCAAAATACCATACCTTCATAATTTAATCTGCTTTTTTTTTTTTAATTCTGCATTGTCACAGTTTCCTGTGAAACCTCTATCACAGCACTTACCATACTGTATTGTGTGGATTTTTTTTCTTTTAAATGCCAGCATGTCTCCCCCCATCTAGCCCCTGAGCTTTATAGACCAGTCTGAGTAGACCATCAAATGAAAATAGTTTTTACTATTACATTACTGCTAAATATAATAACAATAGGGGTATGTCTGTGTATTCCATATAGCTTTAAAACGATGAAAATGTGTTAACATGAGATTACCTAATAATGTAGAAAACTATAAGCATTGGCTATTGAGGGAAAAAAAAAATCTTTCTTGTTTGTAAAACTTCACCATCTAACCCTATACTTCCTGTTAGTGATTTAATATAACCAGTGATAGAACATAGTCTGAAGATCTATGCAAAGGCATGGATAGTATTGTAGCCATAGAGTCGATATTGAAATTTGTATTTGCTTGGCTTAATTTAAGATCACTACCTTTGTATCTGAGTTCGTTTACTAGATTGATTCAGAATTACCTTGTAGTGTTAGGCGAATTTGAAAAATGCCCTTTGTTGAGATTTGATGGTTTAAATGGCTCAAATTCTACATCCATAGATGTCATTGATGCTCTAGGAAGGAGGGCTGAGGGGCAGCCATCTTTTTGGAAGAGAAAGCCTGCAGCTTCCTCTTGGTAGCTCTGTTCTTGAGACTGAGAAACATCAATTGTTCGTCAAGAGGAGAGGAGGGTCCTGGGAGACAGATGCTTGATGCCTCTTTTCTCTGCCATGGGTGTGAGGAGGTGAGGGGATGTTTGGAGACGAAGGAATAGATAGATGGTCCAGCGGAAACATCAGTAGGCCTAGAATAAGTCATGTATGCAATGGCTGGATAAGGACGATGAAAGAATCAAATAAATAAAAATGGGCAGGTTGAGTAGAGTAAGCCCTGAGAATTGAAGTAGTGACTTTGGGTGGGGCAGAGAAAGGTAACTAAGGGATTATCTCCTTTGGTTTATCCATGACTGCTCTTTCTGCTTTTATTAGAAGTCAAATTAAGGCACAGAGGCTCTGAAAGAGATAGGCAACTGCCTTGCTTTCTTTTCTTTATATTCCTACATCTGCTCAGTCCTTAAAACATTCAGCTAGCTAAGCAGAAAATGGACACAAGTAAATTTAAGTTTTGCCCCATCTCCTTTATCATCCCAAACGGTGTCACCTCCGGTAAAATAAAGTATTGAATAACTTATAAAACCTCCCAGAAATGTATACACTAGCCCCTGTTTTCAGCCTCGGGAGGAAGGCCATCTCCTCCTGGCAAAATTTGAGGAGCTAGAAGAGCTGGTCTGTAGGACAGGATGGGGACGATAGAGAACTTTCCCCAGCCTCTTGGACTAAGGACATCTCATGATTGGGCTTGCCTTACTCTGAAGGCTTTTGATGTTCCTGAACATCAGCAAGAATATGGCTAGTAGTAGTACTCAGATATTTATCTGAGTGTATATGTATATATTTGTGACTCCTTAAACCATTCAGCCGTGTGTGGTGCAGGGGGTCTGCCTTCTGGCTTTGCTCCCTCAGTGGGGATCAGGTGAGAACGGGCCTCTTTACATTCTGTTCTGCTGGCCGTCTGGTCACAGCCCCAGCCCAGCAGGGGTCATGCAGGGAGATTCTAGTGCATTGCTGGTCACACAGCACACAGGACACCAAGACAAGGGTTACACCTCACCCATTCTGACCTAGCTTTCTCCCTGTTCTTGCAGGTGCGCACATCTTGACCGACGCAGCAGGAAGATCGATTTTCTTTGTGTTTAACGAAAAGAAAAATGTCCCCGTGTCTGTAGAGATGATTTGCGGTTCAGCCCGGCTGAAGCTGAGCGAATGAGACTATGGGCTGTGCCTCCGCCAAGCATGTTGCCACTGTTCAAAATGAAGAGGAAGCCCAGAAAGGGAAGAACTACCAGAATGGAGATGTGTTTGGCGGTGAGTGCCCTTGGCCTTTCTTCTTGACCCGTGGATCCAGGCCTTTCACTTTCATGGGTGTGAATCCTTGCAGGCTTATTGTGGGGGATACTGGGAGCGGGCTGATGAGATGCGATAGGAATCAATGCAGATCTCTTCCATTGGACAGTCGTCGTAATTTGTACATAGAGGACTTCAAGGAGGATCGTGGAGGTTTTATGCAGGAGCTAGCATCTAAATCAAGTTTTAAATAACTAGTAGGACTTAAATAGGTGTGTGGGACAGCAGCCAAAGGGTGTCCACGTAGAGAAGAATGATAAGGCTGAAAAAACATAGAGGTCTAAAAGTGGAGTGAGTGAGACTTTGTAAATGAGACAGTGATGTGTTTTTAGTGTTAATAGAAAGTTACTCTTTATGTGAATTATAAATTTTCAGATTCAAAACTACAAATACAATAAATTTAATATCATCTTTTAACCTTTCTATGATGCCTTAAGGGAACTTCAGAATATCTAGTGCAAAGGTCACAAACTGCAAACCCACAGCCTATTGGACCTGCAAATATGTTTTCTTTGGCGCCCAGAGAATTGTAAAATGAAAAGCAAGGTGGCCTTTAAATATCAGGATGCTTCACGTGAAATCCCAGATTTCTTCAGAAGATTCCCTTGGAACATAGTCAGTTGCCGCTTCAATCAGGTTCTGGCCTCCAGTGAACCCCTAAGCCATGCCCACGGTTGCACGTTAAGCCCAGTTCACTCACTAACCATGGATGTTACCTGCCTGGCCACTGACAGGCTTTTGAGTTTGTTCCTTGCAAGATCAGTTATTCCTCTGATGAAGCTGTTTCTATGTGTTAGTCCAAAATTCCAGTTAGAGCAAAGCAGATGAAGCCGTTTTTTTTGCTGAATTATTTTAACAGTGAAACCCACTACTTGACATTTGCATGGCATTGTTTTCCTAAAAGTACCTCTTCATTGCTTGTTCAACAAAGAA